TGATAAGAAAAATGTGTTCGCTAAATAGTTAGCATAAATTTCCCTATTTTTGCTGTCGGTTGAAGTGTGTATGGAAGTGACGAACACTACAACTACTCCATGAGTTGTACTGTAAAATACTACGCACAACAGAAATGGGCACCCTTTGGCTTTACAGTAAAATTTGAACTTTTTGAAAGATCCCTGCTGTAGCCCTGAGGTGCAGCTTTTACTTTGAAGGCTAACATTCTACATTTCTGTCTTGCTCTGAAACTTTTCAAGATTTACTTCTGCTCGGCTAGTAGTTAACAAGTCTTTGTAGACAAACATGGAAACTGCAGTCAGCCGTGTCAGTCAGCTTGCAGCCAAAGCTATCGCAGTAAGGTTTTTGGTGCAGCACCTCCTTTACAACTGGTTTCACACAGCCAAAGCCAGCAACTTGCCAACCTTTCCAGTCTTGGAAAATACGCTTTTCCCAAGGAACCAGTGGTTTGGTATCATGTCCAACATGGCTAACAACTCTTGTAGTCTTCAGGAGAAGTTTAAGGGAAAAGGGAATTGGCTTTCTTGCTCTTTGTCCACGGTAAACACTTTCCATGGGCTCAGTCACTAGTTTCGCTTGTGGATGCATTCATGGTATTGCGTGAGAATCCCTCTGATGCACTGCAAGATATTTCAATCAAAACCAGGAATGTGAATCTTGTGCTGGCAGCAGATAAAAGTTTATCTCCAAAATATCACCTGGCATCAGAAACGTATGTGAAAGTTAGGGCTGCTCCAAGTATTCTGCAGGTTGTTGTTGTTACTCAGGGGCTGTCAGTTTATTTTGGTAAGACTTTGAAATCTGGTCTTGCTCAAAGGTGTGTTGAAAACTGCTCGGTGACAGTTAGCCCAACATCAAGCCAAGTGTTTACTTCATTATCAGATTTTGTCTCCTTACTTTTGCTTTCTGTTTCCCCTCTGCTATGCGATTCATGCTCACATTGTATCACATCATCTGCTCTCTGCAGAAGCCAACTTTAGCCTGAAAGTCCAGTAAATTCCACCTATCAAGCTGAAAGATTTCCTTGATGGTCTGAAGCTTGAATTCATTATTCGTGATCTGAATGGCATCCATTTAACTGTTCCCGTGAAAAACGTGTATGCTGCAGGCAAGCAGCATCTAACTGTGAAATTCAGGAGAAAAAAACCCCCAATTTGACCTCAAACAGAGAGAGGAAAAAGATGATTCAACACACATGGAGTACATACAGCTGACTCAAAATTCCCAGAAAATCCTCTTCATGGGAAATAGTAAGCCAAAATAGGGGTGGCTGTATCTCAGGAGGTAGAGCAGGTCATGTGCTGATCGGAAGGTTGGTGGTTTGATCCCCGGTTTCCCCCAGTCTGTATACCAAATATCCTCAGGCAAGATGCTAACTTCCCAAGTTGCTCTCTGATGCATCCAGCACTGAAAACCATAGAAAACAGTGCTTATGTGAATTGGTGAATGTGGCATGTTGTATAAAGTGCTTTGAGTGCTCCAGGAGAGTGGAAAGACGCTATATAAGAATCAGTCCATTTACCAATTAACCAAAGCAGTAGTCAAGAAAATGAAAGTTTAGTTCAGCAGAAATCTTAAGTGTAAGAATATTTTTTAAATATTAAGTTATGCCAATGAATGTCTGAGAAATGTTCAGGGGTGCATTATGCTTTACAACTAAAAACCACAGTTTCACTATCCTTTTCTGGTTGTAGGGTGAAAGCTAGACATGTCATTTCCAAGAGATGTGCTTCTACATCACTGCTATCGGGTGGAAAAACCCCCACATTCACAGCTTGGAGTCATCAAAGTAAGACGTTAATCATTACCTTTTTTTTTTTACCTCTGTTTTTGGTCTCCACCAGTTGTTCAAGACAAAAACCAGCTCGTAAAAGCTCCTCTGCCACTGAAAATAATGCTCATATAAAAACCGTGACCTGAATCATGAACAAAACACAATGAACCAAATCAGAGAGAGCTCGGAGGAACTACCGCGTTCAGCAATAACTCTGTTTGAGAGTTAAGGTTCAGATGTGAATGTATACAGCAACGCCTATGAGAATCTGAACACCAGCGACTGGAAAATGAGACAGAGGTGAGATTTTTTAAAAAATCTTGTGCACACAAGTTAGGAGCTCTGCATCTGTAGATTGAACAAACTCATATTTTAAGGGTTTGTTAAAATGCTCCAAATACAGACAAAACCAAGGTTATTTTACTCTGCTTGAAAATCTCAGTGACAGTTTAATATGTGGTGTCTAACCAGCTACTGACTCTGGATGTCATTACTTTGTGCCCCTGTAACATTGCAGGGAACCTGGCAGTGATTTGGAGTAAACGTGCTCATTAAAGAAGTGTGTAGGTGTGCCTTCTTTCATCTCCAACATTGCTAAAATTAGAAACATCCCGTGTCAGAGTGATGCTGAAAATCTAGTTCATGCATTTGTTACTTCTAGGCCGGACTGTTGTAACGATTTATTATCCGGATGTTCCAATAACTCCTTGGATTCATGAGACAGGCACCCTGTCTATTATTAAAATTAGTCTTGAAAGTTCTATTTTGGCATGTAAAGCTGGATCAGCTGATCCTGAGCCATCCCTTAGTTATGCTGCTGAGGCACTTCCCACGATGGACTCAGCATTTCTTGGCCACACCCACATTTTCACACCTCACGTGGTTACATGCCATTACTGCATGTCATGCACTTTATTTTAGACTCTGCTTTGGTTTCT